CGTATGCCAACCCAAGAAGGAGGGGAGAGGGAGGAGGGGAGGGAAGGGAATGAAACGCAGAAAGCGCGAAGTAACCTTAGAGAGCGCGGCCAACCTTCCTTCTTCGACCCCCCTTGAAGCCGTAGGAGGAGGGAGGGAAGGCAGAGGGAGAGAGCCGGGGTTAAGCGATGAATTTCATTTTACGGGGTCGACGCCGTTTCTGCCTTTTCCTTACGGACGATTTGCGTGAACGTTCATCGTCGAGCTTCTCACGGCAACTGTGGAACCACCACTCCGTGTTACGTGTCTCTCCTTTATTTTGATTTTCCCCTTCTACTTTCCTCGTCGCCGGCGGCGATTAATAAATCTCGGCATAATAACAATCGGATTTATATAGAGGTCGGTCAAATAGGCAAAGTTTAATAATAAGCGAGGTTAGTAACGTTTAGCTTGTTTTTAATTCATTATATTCAAAACAAATAATAATCGGAAATAACTATGTATGTATTGTAGCCAAATGTTATGGTTATATAGCGGATCGAATATAATAATTACGAATGAATGTTATTCAAGCGTTTCAATTAAATAATTAATTCATTCAAAATGAATTAATTATTTAAAGTAATTTTAAATACTCTTTTTTAAATTTTTAACTTAGTTTTTTTAACCGTGAAATAAAAGTTCCTCGATAATTTCGAGTTTCGAAGTTTAACAATTTATCGAATTATTTTTCTCGTCGAAAATTTTCCTTTCTTTTTTCTTTTTTAAATAAATGCTCGTTCAAACGATAAAACGCATCCTTCATCCGCGAGCAACATCCCCAAACAATCTCGCCGAGAAGCATGATCTCTCTCTCTCTCTCTCCCTCCGAATAAAAAGAAAAAGGAGGGGGAGAAAAAAACGATCGTAAAATTAAATCGTTTAGGCCAGACGGTTGCCACGATATTCAATAATCGGGCAGCATACGTGTAGGGGCTAGGCGATGCGGGGCGAAAATTTCGTTATCGCCTAAACAGGGGCGGCCCGGTTGAAATGTCGGGCACGTAGAGCGAGCACTCGTGTCGTCGCGGCGGGATCGAAGGCGCTATTATCAGCTGGCGGCACGTGCCGGGGCCACGTGTACCGGAGCAGATGGCAAAGGCCCTGTGGATGCACCTTGCGAACGCCCTACGCGTTGCGCCACAGCCTTCGTTAATGGAGGCCCTACGGGCTTCCACGAGACGAGAACCCGAAGCGCAGGTGTCGTTGCGCCCCGATTGAGCGTGACGATCGAACAGCGGGATAGAGTTGTTGGGGAAATGTTATCGACTTGGCCGCCTAACCTATTATTCCTTTTCGAATCGTCACTGTATCCAGGAATTTTTGATTTTCTTCTCAACTAAAATAGTTTCTTTCTTGTCATCTATTTTTGTAACCTATTATTCCTCTTCGAATCGTGACAGGAATTCTTGATTTTTCTTCAATTAAAGTAGTTTTTCTGTACTTTCGTTATGTTTTTGTATTCATCTTTGAATCTTTGTAGTAAATGATTTTAATATGATGTAACAGGGAAATATATATATATCGTGGGATAAAGTATGATCTAAGTCTTTGAAAAGTTTGATTTGAATAGTGAAAAGTCGCTGTTCACAGATTTCGATTGAGCTGATTATATTTGTCGAGTATATAAGCTTGCGTTAGACGAAGCGAGATGAGGTAGAGAGAGACAACTCTATGTTTGTTACACTGTCGCGCCACGGTGTGGCGCGCCGTGTCATTCTGTCTTTATCTCGTCTAAACTTCAAGTGCTTATAACTTAATAATAAATAAGTCGAGAACAGTTTTAATGTTTAGTTATCGTTTGAATATTTTTTTTACATGAACTGCATAAATTCCCCTGTTTATACATCGAAATTGAATATCGGTAAGATATTTTCTGGTAAGATGGAATTTATTTTAGGGAATAAAACCGTATGGTATTTATTCATCCAAACGTTAGAATCGAATATTATATGTACGAGCGATTCAAACATTCCTCTCCATGGATTTTTATTCTTTTTATATTTCACGACGTAAAAATATCAAAGATATGGAATTCTTTATATTTCATTCGATGCTGGAGTATATCTTCGATTGTCACGAGAAATTGAAAATATATATCATTTTTCATTTAAAAACGCTTATACAAAATTTTATCTACGTAGAAGGTAAAGAATTCGTGTATTTTAAGGATAGGGCGATGTGTTATTTTTTTGTCGTAAATCATGTCGAAAGAATGTTAGAAAATTACATTGGGATTTTAATCGTGTTGCGTTTTGAGCAACTTTGTTAAGGTTAAGATAATGCAAGAAAATTACATTTTACTTTACTTGAACAAGGAGTTTAATTATTAAATATTTAATTAAATCTTTTGTTCGGTAGTCTTTGTCGTGTCTTCTTAATTAGTTTTCTAAATCGAAAAATCGTACAGGAGATTAAAATCCACGCGCTTTTAAATCTTTTAATAATAAATTAAAATTATTACATATTACACATTACTTTCTTGATAAAAAACGCCATTTCTATATTAATAAAAAAAAAAATTTCTATATTAATTCAAAGAAATTGTTTTAAAGAAATTTGGTACAATGTATATAAGTTTTATAGGTTTATAAGTTTTATTTTAAGGTTAATATTTTTTTTTTATATTTTTTAGTACAAATAAGAATTAGAATATTAGATGGAAGTTAAAGGTATATACAAATACGTGAAACTTGCAGTACTGTGTACGTTTAAATGTTAGGAATCAGTGAATATAAACTCGCGAGAAAAGTAGCTGAGAACGCAAACACTTGTATTCTTCTATTAATTTTAACGAGGAAATTATATTTTTGCTGAGCGCAAATGTTTCTATAAGCAGATTTATCATATTACGAATAAAATTACAGAATTTATCCCATGCAATTTATTTAAATTTTCAAGCAACTTTTATGAAAATTTTGGATGATGAGAAAATCTGATTTTTGTCGAAAAAAATATCGACTAACATAATAGATGTTTTAAAAATTTAATTTTTGGCCAAATTAATTTTTTCCTTTTTTAAAATTTTTAAAATTGCTTTATTTGATAGGATATAAATATTCACCAGAGATTTAAAAATTATTAAAATTTTTTTTCAATTTTTATACATATTATTGAATATATTTTTTTCTATATTATATTATATGCCATGAGATATTATAGAATAATTATAATATTGATAGTACGTGTGTCACAACAACTATATTTTTTTAAAATAAACTTTCACTGAGGATTATTCTTTAGATATAATTTTTTTAATAAATGTCACTCACCGAGTTAATATTCCATGATGTTGATTTCATTTTGCACAAATCTGAAAAATAAAAAAAAAAATAGCACATTAAATACAAACAATAGAAAATAACATATAAAAGAAATAAACGTACAATGTGCGTTTCGAACAAACACAGAAATTTTCGATAAGAGAAAGCTATTTCTTATCGAATTAAGCCATGTAATGTGCTTTTATATATAACTAAATTATATAACGTAGTAATAGCATAACAAGATTCCTCTGATTGCTTTGTCTCAAAGAGGAACTGAGAGAACAGTAAGTAAGTCTATTATTTAAAAAAAAAGAAAAATTCGTAGAAACGAAAGAGCCAAGTCCTTTAATAAATACATTATGATGCAACGTAGTAGTGCAATACTACAATTTTTTTTCTTTTATCATCACGATGACAAATGGCAAAAAAAAGACGTATGAATAGCAAAACATAAATAATACAAAGTTAAAGTTAAACAGAACTTTTATTAATACTCTAATAATCGATAATAGCGATACTTCTAACCTCAAAAATCTTCAATAATTCAATTTTACATAAACAACAATAAAAAATGATCGTTTGAGAAAAAAAATTGTCCTCAATTATAAAGTTGAGTATTAACAATTTCATCGACGAGAGATTGA